AGGAGAAGCTCTTTTACTTCACTTTCACACTGATGATACGATCAACAAGAAAGGATTTCATATACGATACAGAAGTATAAAATATCCAGATAGTGTGCACACCAAAAAATAACACAAGAACCTCTATGCCAGAAAAGGAGAGTGAGAAAGAAAGAACGCACAGTGGAAAGGAAGGCAGGCATGTCTTTTTTTTTTTTAAACTGAAGTTATTAGCACAAATTTTTTATATGAGTTCAGTTGAAATGACAACTTAAAAGACCAGAGACTGAAACAAAATAATAAAAAAATGGAAAAAATCACCTGTCCCAGTGGAATAGTCAAGATGATGATGTGCAGGCTCCATATTTGACTGTCTCTGCAAAGCTTGTGAAAGGACTTTGCATGCAGGGAGAATAAAAGCTTTTGTTCATGGTTTGACATTTCTCATAGATGCGTGCAGATTCAATCAGTTGCATTCAGGGGAAGTGACCCTGCAGACTGTTCTTCCTTCTGACAGTTGTGTGATGTCCAGGAGGAAAAAAGCTCTTTCAGGTCACACACTCAAAATACTGTCCTTCTGTCTAGTTGCTTTGACTTTGTATCCTGCATATGGTGTATACAAGGACTTGAAAGAGGATATGAAATGGGAAGGTCTTCCTGTGTTGTTCTGTATTTTTTACAAATTCATCTATCATATCAGGTTATCAGTGTTTTGAAACTGGAAAATCCTAATTCTGAAACAACTGATCTTTAGAGTATTTTGTTTTACTAATAACTGAGAAGTCTGAACTGTTACATTGGTCATCACTAGTTGACCAATCACTAGTTGGCTGAATTTAGACGATGTAAGCATCTGAAAATGTTTAGTTACTGGTTAAGTAAGCTATCTCTGATGATGTGCTCTTATATTGCACTGAACATAGAAAGAGACTGAGATGAAAACCTGTCCCAAATCAAAATCTGTATCCATGAGAAACAGAAATAGACAAGGATCATCTGAAACTCCTCCTACTGAATTTGTTTTCAGCATTACATTTGGAACTTCTGCTAAGCTTTATTTCTTTGGACCTCTTTGTGAATGATCTAATTGTCCGGTTTAGCTACTCAGAAATGAAGCTGCAGTAGTATCCAAGAGGGAGGTTTCCCAAAGACGTTTTTTTCTGGGAGTAAGAGGTTCTGTGATGGTGAAAAAAAGTGAAAGAAAACAGACCCAGGATTTGTTTGTTATCAAGCGTGAATTCCTATGGTGCTATTCCATGAACATTAAAAACAAAAACAAACCAAGAAGTTTTAAACTTTTGAGCCAACAGCTTGCAGATCATGAATGTCTCACTATGCCTGGCTGCATTTGGAGAAGGAAGGCTTTACTGCTCCAAGGGAGAGTGGGTTGCAATGCTAGTCCTGTGGAACAACTACTACTATTGCCTTAGAATCCTCGCACATGATCAGACAGATCTTCCTGTAGATACACCTCTAATTTGATAAATAATTTGACGACTTGGACATCTTAGCATACGCTAACAAAAGGATCTTCAAGCAAAAGCCCCATCTGCAGAGTGAGATCATCTGCTGTAAATACAGTGACATGCTTTTGATGTAGAGATATGTTACGTTTAGAACAGAGATATTCTATGTGCTTTAGGCCATACATGGCTTTAGTCATAATGTATACGCATTATGTAAGTATTGTATGAATGAGTGCTAGAGTGAGAGGTACTGTATGGGTGAAAACTGAATTGTTTCTTTATGTGCCAAGTTCTATCAGGACCCTGTTTGACTGTAGCAACTTTTCTTTAAAGGCTTCATAGATAACGAGGACTTCTAGTTGACAAGAATGAAGTTTAAACGAAGTATTATGTTTCACTTACAAGAAATATTATTTTGATATCCTTTGATGTAAGTTGCTACTCAGATTAGCTTAGTTTCTGTTACCTTACTATGAACATACATTGGCACTAATAAATCTGATCTTTTTTTATAAAAATAAAAACCAAATGTCTGTATAGGTGTCTTTGATTGTTTTAACAGCACTATTGCTTCTCATGTATTACTGTTTTCCTTTCCAGCGATCTTATGTGTGTGAAATTCAAAAACTGAGTAATTTATGTATTTTTATAATGTTGCTCCACTATCTTTTTGTTTGATTCGTTTTTCAGGGTGTTTTCACAAGAATTTGACTACAAACATTTTCTCTAAGGTCTTTTGCTACAAAAGTCAGGCAGAAATATTAATAATAGCTTTTTTTAAAAAAAAGTATTTTTAACCTCGATATAGCTGGGTGGAATTCCTATGCTTGAATTTCTGTGAGGAAAAGCAAGCAGCAACAGAAGCAATGTCTTCCTGGCATAGGTAGTCAAAAGGAGTTAGGAAAGTCTGAGGCTGGGAGCAAGAGCAAGTTTCTATGTTATCTTTTTTCCTCTTTTCTGTTCCAGTCTCCTCTTAATATTATCTCGCTTCCATTTGCTAAACAAAATATTTTAAGTCTTCCTTTTCTTTAAATTTGGTTGAGTGGTTGTTTTTTTTTTATTCCCTTCATGGTTACTTTAACAACCGTAGGGTTGAGACAAGATGATTATTTTTTGGAAGGGTTTTTTTTTAATTGTTGTTGATTCATACAGGCCCCTGTATAAATCCTACTGTCCTATGTTAAATAGTGCAACTGGAGTAGTTGGGGAAGAAGGTTAGACTGGGCAAGCTGATGGACAAGAGCATCATATAGTGTATTTCCAAGACTCTGTGGTGGCTGATTCTTTGCGGTCATATCAAAGTATTGCTTTTGAGCACAGTATGTCTGGGGTTATTTCACATGGAATACGTAGAAGTCAGAAAAGAGTTGCCATAACTTGGAATACAAAGTTTAATTTTATTTCTCTAATTGCTTACTCCTTTGTAGATTCCCATGTGCTTTAGAGTGGTGAAAATGAGGAAGGTGTTCTTAATGATTATCTTGATGATAAGTGGACCACATGGGTCGTGTCTTTGATTGGCTATGATCCTAGTCAATGCTTCATGGTGCCATCAGATGCTATTAAAAACATAGTTATTTCCAAGTCCTACGAGGTTTTTCCTGATGTAATGAAAATCACATATTCAGTGAACTCATTTAGTGGAAGTATGCTTTATAAATAGCCTAACAATAAGAAAACAATGAAAAAATCTTTTGTGTTGATGAAATTGTGAAAAGCTATGTGAGTTATCCCAAAAAGTCTTTGATATGGTGAAATTCATTCACAACATATTGATTAAAGATCTTGCCTCTTGAGTAGTCAATAAAACAAAACACAAAATCCAGTGGGCTGGAGATCGAACTTTGAGACCTAGTTACAATGGGTTTACTGGCAACGTTCCCAGCAGAGTGAAGATGATACTTGTTCTGCTTCCTATTTGACACAAGCTTTCTTGACTGTGGGTAAGACTCTGGATTCAAATTAATTTTTCTGTAACATGATGAAAGGTTGCTTTTTTTTTTTCTCAGCTACATGAAGAGCTCCTGATGTGTGCTGAATAGTTTTCTTTAATGTTAAATTCAGCATAAAGTGTTAAGCTGATGGAATATGCTGGATCTGTGTGGTTGACTGGCTTTTGAGGAATTTGAGTCTGTAGCAGACAAATACTGTGATCAATACTATGCTCAGATAAGAGGGAAGATATGTTTGTGAAAGACTTTCCTTCCATCCTTAACAACAACAAAAAAAGTATCGTCGGTGAAAGTCACTTAAAATGGCTGCCTTACATAAGAGCTGTGAAGGTCTAGGTGAAATGAATAAAGCAAGCTTGGTGTACACACAGTAGATATTCTGCTCTTGCTGGCTCTTTGTTATAATCTGCTGCTATAATCTGTTATAGTATTTGAGTAATCTTGCCTTGCTGTGAGACCTATGAAACAGCAAGTTGACCCAAGCATGGATGAGAGACAGATCAGATCCTTAACATAGTATTGCAGCATTAGTTTTTCATTTAAAGCAGATTGCTTTTGAACCACTGAAAAAAATTAGATTAATTGGGTGGAAGCTTTGTCCATCTGGGGAATCAGTTTTGCAATTTTGCTGTGTTGCCAGGGGTGCAAGTGGCACATAATTTTTTATAATGGAGGAAATTGTTGTTGACCTCACGGGTTGTGTGCTGTGCTAACTTTAGCTGTGTGCTACACCACCGTAGAGTGTGGTCACTGCTGAGGCACACTGGAATTTCTTCTATGATTAAATTGTTCTATTCTGCCAAAATTTACAGATCTCAGAGTTTAGGGACCTGTTATTGGTGTGTAATTTCAGGAAAGTATTTGGTCTCAGACCTGACCAGTAATCAGAGGGGAATTTTCCTTTGACTTCAGGTCTTAAACTGGGGCCAAATGAGTAATAGGAGGGGATGGGGTTTATCACATTAACATATGTGATTATGCAGATGGGCACAACCTTATCTAAGGACTTGCTCTTATTTTGATTGTATCATTGATTATTCTGATTTGATTATTAATTGTTCAGTCAAAAAAAGGAGGAGGAACAAGAAAAAAAATGACTGGAAAAAGAAAATATAAAGATACCACAGACACAACTGCATTGCACTAAAAAAAAATAAAATAGATGTAGTTTCCAGAGTCAACACTGTTGCTGATATATTACTTTTTCAATGCATCCTTCATATTCTTTAAAAATGCTTTGTGCTGTATTGCTTTTACTTACCTGAAGGAAGAGTTTGATGATTAATGACATTGGTTAATGAATTTTTGAAGCAGAGAACTGAAGACAACCTAAGGAATGACTTGCATTTGGTTCCTAATGATGTATATCCTGAGTAACTACCTGTTTGTGAGGGAGTAACACCAGGCTATAGCTTTTACCAGTTGTTTTTTTTCCCCTCTAACACTCTCAAGTTTTGCTGCTCTAAGTTGAATACTTGCAGCAACATTTTATGTTGTTCCTTGTGATTCAACTAATCAAAATAATAGGCAGCTGCTTAATACCACTCTTTCATGGAATCAGGGTGAATGAAGTCTGATTAAGACAAAAAGAACAAAGGAAAATGCATTTTGCAAGTTATTCCGTGTTAGCAAATGTTCTCATTTCTTCTGGTTTCTTATTCTGATTTCATAAAGGAAGCAAGCTGTAGCAGTTACAAAAAATATTCAGGGTATAGTGGTATTGGGTGAACAGTGAAAGAAAACATTATCAAGGCTTGGGTCTCTGTTTTGATCCCATCTCTGCAATTGTTTTCTGTCATGTTTTTTGCTTGTAACCTATAAAATCCCATCC